CCTACCTTGGTGGGAGAGGGCTAGTGCACTTACAAAAAACTAGCATGGAAAAACCATGTCTGGAGTAGATTCCACTGGTATAGCTTTCCAATAAGCTGAGTTGCACATGTCTTTCCAGCCACACCAAGGTGGCTACTTTTGGAAAGGGTTGCAGATTGAAGGAAGGAGTGCCACTGGGCAGTATACTGTGTTAAGGATGTGATCAGAAGAATTTAAATGGATGGACAGTATAATTAAAAATTGAGAGATCAATACAAGGAAGAAAGATTGAAATGTATATGTAGATCTGGAGCCCACATAGCTAAGTATATACAGTAAATGGTTTCAGTGTTTCACATTCTCTAAAAGTAGCGAAGGTGAAACTGGTCCTTACAGTGCTTGTCACGGCATTATGCCGGGTGAGCACCCCTGCATAATGCCTGACGAAAATGAAAGGCTTATCATACAGGGGTGTCTTTTTTCATCAGTGTATTATGTTGAGTAGCAGCCATTAGCATGATGTCATGGCCTGCCGCCACACTCCACAGTGACTCCTCAGTGCTCATGTAGCTGCCATGGTGAGAGGAAGTGTTGCACTTTTGTATATCATCCACCCCATCTTTTATCCAGTGTTCCCTTTGGTTTTAGGGCTATACTTGTTTGATTATAGGTAAAAGGAAGTCTTTAACACCTGAAACTATAGCTCAAATCATAGGGCTTCACAAAGCTGGGCATCAGATGAAAGAAATAGTGGGGAATGTTGGTGTGTGTGAGTGTTCAGTGAGGAACTGGGTGCAGCATTTCAAGGCTGGTGGCAGTGACAGGATACCATCTGCTAAACCTCGGCCTGGCCTCTCAAAGAAGACATCTGTTCGTACGTTAACTGTGTTAAAGAAGCAGTTAGAGAGTACACCTAAGATGACTGCTAGAGAATTGAAAGAAAAGAACCCACATCTTCTCTCAGAGGTGTCTGTAAGAACTGTTAGCAGATGTGTGTCAGAACTGGGCTACAGTAGTCACTGCCAGGTTAAGAAACCAACCCTCTCCAAGCCACAGAAGAAATGTAGGCTGGATTATACAAAGAAATATCTTCACTGGAATCTTCAACAGTGGTCTGAAGTACTGTACTTTGGAGTGATGAAGCAACTTTCACCATCACCTGTAACCGTGGTGAACATGTGTACCGGCCCAGAGATAGTGACCCGCTAGACCCAGGCTACACCTGTGGGACGACCAAACACCCAGACTTGCTCATGGTTTGGGAGTGTTTCAGTGCTCAGAGTGTTGGTAAACTCATTGTACTTCCCAAAAACCAGCATATGAACCAGTATAATTACCTGGAGTTATTGTGTGACAAATTACCTGGGGCGTTTGACAAGTGTGGGGCTACAGTTTTTATGCAGGACGGTGCACCATGTCATACTGCCAGATCTGTAGTTCAGTGGCTTAAGGACTGTGAAGTAAGGTTCTTTAACCCTTAAACGGTCCAAACGTATATATACGTTCACTCGCACAGTGCCTTGATTATTTTGAAAAAAAAATATACAAAAAATTTTTTTTTATAGAAAAAAAAGAGCACATTTTTTTAAGTATTCTAGAATAAAAAAAAAATTAGGGTCAGTACTTACCGAGGTATGAGGCCGAGAAGTTGGCACGGATGCTCATGTGACAACAACATGGAGTCCTGCCGCTTGCAGAAGTGTTGCTGATATACCTTTTTTCCTATTTTCATATTATTTTATGGAATTTTTATGTTCTGATAATTACAATTTGTAGTAGTTCTTGTCATTTTATAATCAATCTTTGTTCTGACACTAGTATTAGGTACTGAAATTGTACTCAAATTGTCACAAACACACTGACAGGTGGACATTTACACCTGCCTTGGTCATTTACTATTGTCTTGGAATATATACAAAGTATTTATATATCCCAGCAATGTTCTGGATATATGGAAGTACTATATAATGGAGGAGGAGGAGGAGGAGGAGGAGGATGATGATGATGATTGATGATGAGGATGATGATGAGGATGATGATGATGATGATGAGGATGATGAGGATGATGATGATGAGGATGATGAGGATGATGATGAGGATGATGAGGATGATGATGATGATGATGATGAGGATGATGAGGATGAGGATGATGATGATGATGAGGATGATGATGAGGATGATGATGATGATGAGGATGATGAGGAGGATGATGATGAGGATGATGATGAGGATGAGGATGATGAGGATGATGATGAGGAGGATGAGGAGGATGATGATGAGGATGATGATGAGGAGGATGATGAGGATGATGATGATGAGGATGATGATGATGAGGATGATGAGGAGGAGGAGGAGGATGATGATGAGGATGATGATGAGGAGGAGGATGATGATGATGAGGAGGATGATGAGGATGATGATGATGAGGAGGAGGATGATGAGGAGGATGATGATGATGAGGATGAGGAGGATATGATGATGGAGGAGGATGATGATGATGGAGGAGATGATGATGGAGGAGAGGTGATGATGAGATGAGGAGGAGGATGATGATGATGAGGAAGGATGATGTAGGATGATGATGATGAGGAGGAGGATGATGATGAGGATGAGGCGGAGGATTATTTTAGTGCCAGGAATGTCTATCTTGTTTATTCTGGACCCTATTTGGAAATTGGCATCTTTTGAAATTTGTATGAAATTGGCAAAATTGCCAATTTCTGACTATATTGGATAGCTGAAATTGGTAAATGGGTGGTTTCTTGTACTCATTCGATAGAAAAATGGAGTTCTAGCGAAATAATTATGATTTTTGTCGACTGGTACATTGGAATTGGCCGAAAATAGGGCTCAAAGTGGGCGAAATCGCTGGTGCATAAACATTGTCGAGACCGCTAACTTTGCAAGAGCATAATTCCGTAAGTTTTCCATCAAATTTCATACTTTTGGTGTCATTATGATCGGGAAAAGATCATCATTTCACAAGAAATTTTTTTTTTTTTTTTTTATTTTCAAAAAATTTCCAACCCTGAGAACAAGTTTAGGAGAGGGCCTCTCGACCCTGAAAGGGTTAATAATAATAACAGTAATGTAGTAATAATCTTGTGTGCTAAACCTGAATGGGTCATATAGGGCTGTAGGTAGGGGTTTGCAAGGATAAGGGTATGCAAGGGGTAGAAATTAGTGGTCAGGGTTAGTCCTTGTAAAACTGAAATCGTAGTTGGGGCAATAGGTTAGTTTCCGTTAAAAAGCCAGAAAAAGTCCGTCAGAGGTAGGATTTTCAGTGAGGTCAGTGTGTGTTAGGGCTTTGTAGATATTGGAAGTGAATTCTGCATGCCTACTGATAGATAGGACAATCTATTAAGATATGGTGAGCTGACATTGTGACCTGGCAGTCCTCACAGAATGGTGCAGTCATTTCTCTATGTGGTTAAAGTGGATCAGTTGTGTGTGTCAGTTCGTGAGCACAAGAGTGTAGCTTTCTAAACCCAATAGTGGTAGAAAGATGGCCAGAATCTCAATTGTGGTTTGATGGAAAACAATTTGTTGTGCTTTAACTCAGACCAGTGATATTGCTAGTAGTTGTGAAGTTGAGACATTGAAAAATAGTCTGATAAAGGAACACCCCTGCAAGAAAGTGGGAGTGGGGCTCAGTTTTTTATTTGGTCTCTGCAAGTGCAGAGACCAGGTAAAAAAAACAACTTTTCCTCAATAGAAATTTAAAATTCCAAATTGTATACAGAGGACAGTAGGATGATGGGAGTTGAATTTCTGGATAGCCTGTGATACACGTTGGGAGTCAGAAACTACCACTAATGATGAGGTAGACATGGCAGTAATGTGTATAATAACACTGAGACCAGCATATAACTGCTGGCCGACTCTAGTAAATGCCCTTGGATTTTCTTCCTGGAAAAAAAGCTAAGTCCCTGACACCATCAAGGGATTTAGAACCATCGGTGTGCATGACTATGTATAACATAAGAATGAAGTTGAAAATTTTAAGAGTGTAAGGTTGTTGTGGGTAAGTGAGCTTTGGGCACAGAAGTAGGAAGGAGCAAACTTGAATCATCAGAACTCACCTAGGAGGGAGGGAAAACTTTGATGCAGTGTGAACATAATGGGGAGGCAAATTAGGGGATGTCATTAGAGCATGAATATGGAGAGGAAAGGAGTATAATAAAGGGGGTAATGATCAAGTAAAATTAGCCTTAATAATATCTGTAATTGTGCTGAATGTGGAAAAATTGTGGTCATGGAAGGAGACAAAATAGCAGAGACAATGCGCATTGCATCAATCTTGCAGACATGCCATTTGCCTCTGTATACAGACTCTTGAATGGAGAAAGCTGAAAAGCCCCAAGACAAAAACATAACCCTTAGTGACGAATGAGATAATTTAAAAAGAGTAGTGGGTGAGGCTGAGGAATATAGTTGGTCTTTGCAATTTGGTTTAGATAAGGAGTGAGTGAAGACATGATTTTTTGGAACCTGACAAGTTGCTGAAGTGTGAGCAAGGTAATATTTTGTGAAGGGATTCAGGGAAACAGGTCCTGGAGGTGGGAAGTACAGTGCCTGCACTATAAAGGAAGGGTTTGGGATATTTACTGTTTGGAGGGACGTCTGACCTGTCATATCTATGCACTTCTGGCAAGACAGTGATAGTATGAATGATGGTGAAAGTATTTCTTTTTCAGGTCACCCTACCTCTGTGGGAGGCAGCCAGCATGTAAAAAAAAAAAAGATATTAGGAATGAATGGAGGTGAAGAAGGTTTGTATATCAGCTCCTAAGAAAGATGGGCTAAAGTTTTAAGAAGATTCAAGTGGCTATGATAAATAGCTTATAGGGAGGTTATATGAGAGCAAAAGGATTTTTAAAAACAGACTAGATACAGTATTCAAATTTCAGTGAGGAAAAGATAACAGTAAGAGGGGTTCCATGCAGAAAAAAAAATCATGGTACAAGTGCCAGTCAGTTATTACTGTTGGGCATTAAATGTAATTGCTGTATTCAAAAGTATTTGGTTTGTATTTCTTTTATTCCATAAGTAGGTAGGTAATTATGCAGTACATTTCTGCTTCAACATAGCAGTAGTCTCCTATTTTATAATGTATTAAAAAAAAGGACAATTTTGAGACCATTTCTAATTTTACTGTAAAAGCTTTAAATACTCTGATAAATACTAACCATAAGGATGCAATTTGGATTTTGAAAAATGTATAAGAATTAAAAACCTGTGAATAAACCCAGTAGTGTTAACAGCCTTCCTCACATTTTTTTTTTCCAGAACATGTACACATCATTTGAAATGTATCTTTTAATAGTTTTATAACTTACCCCATGATTCTAGTATTTTATCTCTTTAATAAATGTCTTCAGAAAATATCGGTTAAATTTCTAGGAAAATTTTCCTTCAAAATATAAACTAATTTAGTTATATGTAATATTCTAATACTTAAGAATAACCACTCAACATACTAACCTCTCACTCAGTCACAACCATTCCTGTGAGCAAATAATTCAAATATTTCTCTGGCATTTATATACAATACCTACAAATATAATAATACAGTAGTTACATTATTAACAATATCAGCAAAAAATGTCAAGGACTATATTAGTTAAATCTGAGTATATCATCATTAAACTTTTGTTTTCATATGAACATCAGCAAAAATGCAAGTATAATTCTAAATTATTATAAAATCTGAGTACTGGTATATCAAAATTTAATTTTTTTTTTTTTTGGTAGAAAATTATATCACATTTGAAAATTACAGAGCTCTTCTACTCAAAAATTTTCTACATGCTCTGTTTTGAAAATGCTGAATGTATTTCAGTATTAATGTTAAAAATAATAAATTTAGTTAAGCACATATTATAGAACATTGTACATGTAAATTCTTAAATATTCTGGACAAACTTGGACATTGAATTTCACAACTAGTTATAATGTATCTAAAACAAATCACTATAAGCACAAGTTTTTCATGTGTCATGGACATTGTAAATCATGAAAACATCAAATTTCTTATCACTCTATGGGTATTATTTTTAGTTATAATGCAATAAAATGGGGAAACATTTAAAAAAAAAATCTGACTCTTCTCTATATAAAGTCACTGTATGGTCAACCACTTCATTAATAGAAACAAATATTTAAAAAAATACAGCAATGAACTGGAACCTTAATACTAATATATCTATATCTTCTGCCACCTCTCTTTCCCTAATTTAAAATCTGAGCAAAGTAACAGGTCAAATGTATAAATTCTAAATCATATAATGATTAGTTACTTCATGAGGCAGATTCTCAGGAACTGTATTTTATAAGAAAATGAAGATTATCAAGTAACTCTTGCTAGTAAAACTACAATATATTGATCATTTGTACATTTTTGGCACCTCATATTAAAAATATAACTGCTTATATATTTTTCTAACCATCAGTAAATGTATCATGGTGTTGGGTAAGGTATTTGATTGGAAAAAAATATCTTGGACATATGACCCCTCAAGAGAAGTGCCTAGATGCTAGTGAGGGTCTCTTAATCCAAGAAACTGGATCCTTGGATTAAACCTGAATGCCCCTCATTCCCCAGGCACTATATGACCCCTATGGATTTAGTGCTTTCCCTGATTAAAATCTGACATATGACCAGAAACCAAGACTAAGATGAAATAATAAAGAAGTGACTACCACCCTCACACTGACATTCTACACAAATATATCATTGTTTCATAAATGATTACAGTAAAACAGATATTTAATAAAGTACTCACAAATATAAAAAGACGACTAACATGCAAAGCCTTGAGTTTCGTTGTCGTCTGCTGAACACCGAGTAGCACCCTAGTCACTTCTTGTAGAAGAAATATCAGATCTCCTGCACTGTTACATTATTCTCTCAGCAGAATTATATACACATACATTTAGCATGGTCTACACACTGACCAAAATAATTCCCATAAATGCATTATAACATGCCAAATATTCTCATAGTTTATGTATCTGGTAATGATATGAACATTCTGAGAACTGTAGCTTGCAACTTTGGCAAGTTTCTACTTGCATTTTTTTTTTTGTGTGTGCAGAAGTGTTCTGGCAGAAAAGTTTTTGAAGAACAGCTGACATACTTGAGCTTTCTGCACTAATACTAGTAAAGTCATTATTGAGCACATGGCATCCCTTGTCAAAGAAATGTCTTCTCATGTAATGGCAAAGCACGTCTTAGACACATAGCTGTATAACTTTTCTAAGTTATAACTGTAATTTGAACAGTAAGAATTATTTAAAATAAAACACTGGGATCTTTAAATAACAAAAATCCACACTAAATGTCAAATCACACAGACGTCATATTGGTAGGAGAATCTAAATCATGACACTTTTCACCTGATTTGGTGCGTTGTAGGCAAACGTATTTAGTCACATATGAATCACAGTTTGGGGGTAACAGAGGCTCCACAGATGGCCCACCCCCATTTTCTTGAGGAGTACGATTCCAACTCGAATTAAGAATAATGGAAGGATTAAGAGAAGATGGTGAGGATAAGAGAGGATTATTTGTTAAAGCAGTTGAGTTGGGTGGCCGAGAGAAACTACTGAGTTGAACCGCATTGGTGGTTGGTACATTATCACTGCCTGATGTGTGGCGCACTCTAGTATTTGGGAGACGTGTATTAGGTGCAGAACTCCTGCGACAGCTTTGCTCAGTGGGCAGCACTAACTCTAAAGAGTCTGTATCATTAATCTGGACTGCTGCTGAAGGAACCTCCAGGCACGGAGTAATAAGACGAGGCCACATTGTCAATGTTTCCATCATTTCATTAAATGTGGGACGATCATGAGGATTCATACTCCAACAACTCAACAGAAGACGCTCACTGAAAATAAATATAAAGTTTGAAATATATTAAGTTAAAAATCTTACCTGAACATTCTTTGTAATTTTACACCTCAACCTGTTACCTATGTTATTATATGTGTAATGAGAATTAGTCCACAATATTAATAATAATACCGGTATAATCCATCTAAGTGCTGAACCCAGAAGGGTGGTTTACAGTACTGTAATATGTTTAGAACAAATAAATATAACCTATTATGTACCAACCATAAGTACTAAATTAATTTTAAGATTAAAGAACTGTACATGAAATGGGGTTTAGCACTTCGTTCCGATTGTATGTATTATTATTATTATTACTATTATTATTGTACATGAAACATTTCCCAATGAGAAATATACCTAGAATCCTGATTAGTACATTTCATATAGGATCACTGGGTGAAAAGGTTGGGCCTGACAAAACTAAAATCAATGTGTTAATTTTTATGAAAATGTACAGTATATCCAATTCAAATAAAGCATTACACAGCAAGAAGTATTGTATTTTTTATTTACCCCTGACTAGGCAGGATGCTTTTAGGAATATGTAATAATAATTTTAGTAGCTCTTTTTTTTTTTTATCATATAGTATACCCATCAAGGAAGTTTACCTGTAGTAGTACAGATTTTCTTCTACTATTTAGTTTTCAGGTTATAATTTGAGAATGACTCATCTGATCAACTTCAAATTTTCAACACAGGGTAAAGAGTAGTATTCTTTGCATTATGGACATAATAATAATCCTGATGACAAAAACAAAGACTTGGATCTAATGTAATTATGTAATATAAACTTTTTATCACATTTTACTGCACTGACATTTCTGGTCGATTATCCAGGTGCTGAGAGAGAAACCACTAACTAGTGCACTCAACCACAAGCACAGGTTGCTAGAACACAATGATAGCTTATACAGTAAATAAGATGGGTAAATTCTTACATGTTTCAACATAAATCCTTATTAAAAATCTGATATGATAACAATGAATACTCACAGCTGTGGCTTGACACCTTTAGGAATGGTAATAGTGTTTCCGCCCCTTACATGCTCCAGAACCTGATTGTTGGACATTCCCTGAAATGAAATAAAATACAGGAATGAACTAACCAATGGAGGTTAAGCTTTACACATTGCAAACCTCTTCAAGGGTCTCTCCTTGTTGTGGTGAAGAGGCTCTTGGTCTGAGGAATTAGACCTGTTGGTCTGCTTCCTCAGACCGAACCTAATTACCCCCCAATCCCCCCTTCCCTATCCCATCCTCCCCTTTTTCCTTTCCTCCTCCTCCTCCCCACCCCTCCCTTTTGCCCTTCCTTTTTGGCCTTTGGGATTTTTCCCACGGGCACGCTAGTTCCTAGGTAGGGGGTCCATCCCATTCCGTTGAGGTTCTTGGCGGTGGTGTAGTTTGCCGTGGAATCTGGATTGCCTGGGGATGTCCCGATCCCTCTCCGGTATCCGGGAGGGTGGCTTTGGGTGTCTCTCGGGCGACGGGTGTATCTGGAAGCCACCTTTCGGATTCCGGGGGTGGTGGCCGAAGGAGGTATGCTTTGTGGCGGATATCCGGCCGCCCTCTCGTCCACCGAGGTAGCTCGGAAGATGTGAGGTTGCTATCCCGGATTGCTGGTTTACTGGCATGATGGGTAGGGTATGGCACGGGTTCCATGCTGCATCTACGCTACTTGCGGTGCTGAGGTCCTCTTGGGCACGGAGGGAGATTTCTGGCCCTTTCATTCCTCCTAGGAACTATCCCTCCCCGGCCTCTTCAAGGGGGGCTCCTTGGCGTGGTGAAGAGGCTCTTCGTCTGAGGAATTAGACCTGTCGGTCTCCTTCCTCAGACCGAACCTAATTACCCCCCAATCCCCCATTCCCTATCCCATCCTCCCCTTTTTCCTTTCCTTCTCCTCCTCCTCCCCACCCCTCCCTTTTGCCCTTCCTTTTTGGCCTTTGGATTTTTTTTTTTCCCCAACAGGCACGCTAGTTCCTAGGTAGGGGAAAGGGTACCAGGGTCCATCCCATTCTGTTGAGGTTCTTGGCGGTGGCGTAGTTTGCCTTGGAATCTGGATTGCCTGGGGATGTCCCGATCCCTCTCTTGTATCCTGGAGGGTGGCTTTAGGTGTCTCTCGGGCGACGGGTGTATCTCTGGAAGCCACCTTTCGGATTCCGGGGGTGGTGGCCGAAGGAGGTATGCTTTGTGGCAGATTTCCGGCCGCCCTCTCTTTTGTCCACCGAGGTAGCTCGGCAGATGTGCGGTTGCTATCCCAGATTGCCGGTTTACTGGCATGATGGGTAGGGTATGGCACGGGTTCCATGCTGCATCTGCGCTACTTGCGGTGCTGAGGTCCTCTTGGGCGCGGAGGGAGATTTCTGGCCCTTTCATCCCTCCTAGGCACTATCCCTCCCCGGTCCCCCCCTTTTTTTATTCTTTTTTTATTTTTAGTTTCTTTTCTTCTTTCTTTTTTTTTTTCTTAAAAACAAAAAGAAAGAAGTAACTTAACCATGGCAGCCCTAGTCCATGAACCTGCTACCCCCGGGCCCCTTCTTGATACCGCACCCCATTCTGACCCCGCCTTGTCTTCGGACCACTCTTCGGACACTCCTCATGCCTCTGTACCTCTTTCCGGAATAAAGTTGCCTAACTGTTGCCTATGTGTCTTACCAACCCACCCGCTTCAGGTACTGAGGCCTCGACTGACTCCTTCGATTTATCTGACCTTCGCTCTCCTCTGACTATGCTTCTGGCCTCTCCCTCTACGGTGCGGCCCGTTCCACGTCGGACCAACTCTGGTCCCACGCCTAAACGCCAACGACAATTACCTGCTGATGATACTTCTCCACCTTCTTGTTCTTCTCAGAAAAGATCAACACGTCCTTCACTACCTTTCCACGCTCAGTTTCAGACTGCACAATGGACTAAATTCTTCACTTTACGACCGACTTCCTCTACTGCCTATCTTTCTGACCACAGTATTGGCAAGGCACTCCTATACCATGTTGGTAAAGATTTTTCATGCTCTTAAGAGCGGTACGTGCATCATCACCGTACAGAATGCTACCCAGGCTCATGAGCTTTCTCGTCTTTCCCATATCGATACTGTTCCTGTCACTATTGAAAAACATCATTCTCTCAATTCTTGTAGTGGTACCATCATTCTGCCCCATACCATAGTTCAACAAAATTTCCAGACATGTGACACTGACATTCTTGAACAGCTGGAACTCCAAGATCTCCCAATCCTCAAGGTAGACACTTATGTTCTTCCTGCCCGCGGGCGGAGACGATACCCTAGCAATGTGGCTCGTTTAACTTTTGACAGCCATGAACTCCCATCCTCAGTTTATGTAGCAGGACATCGGTTACAAGTTCGAAAGGCGATCCCTACACCGCAATAGTGTAGAAATTGCTGGCGATTTGGCCATCCAGCGAAATATTGCAGATCTATCGCCGAATGCCCAGTCTGTGGTGCCGATGACCATTCTAATACGTCTTGCAATCGACCTCCCTCTTGCCTTAATTGTCATGAGGCTCACCCTTCGTACTCTCGCCGTTGTCAAGTCTACTTAAACGAGCGGGAAATCCGTTACCTCAAAGAGGCAGAAGGTCTCCCTTATGCCATGGCAGTTTCTCATCTCCACCTCCAAGGGAGACTACCTCGTGTTTCTTATTCCCGTGTTTCAAAACGTCCCCCCACTTCTGGGATCCCATCTTCTGCAACCACCTCTGTGGTTACCTCTCCCATAGTCACTCCTGTATCTAATTCTTTTGCTGTCCTAGGCTCAGACGTCCCTACTTCAACGCCTCAGTCTGATCTCGCTTCTTCGTGTTCTCCCTCACAAGCCTCAGTATCGACGAGATCCCGTACGACACCTCCTCCCAATCGTCCCTCTACTTCTCAGAAGTCAAAAAAAGGTCCTTTAACCCCTCCTTCCCTTCTTCCACCTCCTCATTTTACCTTCCCTGTCTCTGTACCGGGTTCTTCCCCTCTCACTGGCTCTGTTACAAGTGTAGAGGTTCACCCTCCTCCTCGTACTATACCTGTTCGGGTTAATAATGTGCTCTCCCCGGACTTTATCCAAGCTGAAGATGTCCCCCAGGGATGTGTTCTGAGCACAACACTTTTTCTCCTTGCTATTAATGATTTGGCCTCTAGTCTTCCATCAAATATTTGGTCATCACTCTATGTTGATGACTTCGCTATTGCCTGTGCAGGCGCTGACTGTCACCTCATTACAGTTTCTCTCCAGCATGCTGTCGACCGTGTTTCCAATTGGGCCACCACACATGGGTTTAAATTTTCCAGCACTAAAACCCACCGAATTACTTTCACTAGACGCTCTGTCATCTCCGATCATCCTTTGTACCTCTATGGCTCCCATATCCCTGAACGTGATACAGTCAAGTTTCTAGGCCTCCTCTTTGACCGTAGGTTATCCTGGAAAGCTCACATTACCTCTCTGAAGGCAACTTGTCACAGCCGGCTGAACCTTCTTAAAACCCTTGCTCATCTTTATTGGGGAGCTGATCGTTGAACCCTCCTTCGCCTACATTCCACCCTCATTTTATCGAAACTTGATTATTATGACCAGATCTATTCAGCGGCATCTCCTGCTACTCTCTCATGCCTTAACCCCATTCATCACCAAGGATTACGTTTATGCCTTGGTGCTTTTCGCTCTTCCCCTGTTGAGAGCCTCTATGCAGAAGCGAACGTTCCATCCTTATCCGATCGCTGTGATGCCCATTGCCTTCACTACTATGTACGCTCTCATGATCTCCGCAATCCTTCCATTTATAGAATGGTCACTGATCTTAGTAGACATTCTCTATTTGTTCGCCGCCCCTGTTTACTCCGTCCCTTCTCTCTTCGCCTTCATTCGCTCTTGTCTTCGCTTCAATTACCACCTTTCTATGTTCATGTAGCATCTCACTTTTCCCTAGCCCCCTGGGAAGTTCCAGCTGTTCGAGCCTGTTCTGTCTCTCTCCCTTGCTCGAAAGCCCAACCGTCTACAGTCGCTTCCCGCTCTCTTTTTCTTGACCACTTCCACTCTCATTCTCATGCCATTGCTGTGTACACAGATGGCTCTAAGTCTTCTGATGGTGTAGGATTCGCAGCAGTGTTCCCGGACAGCGTCGTACGAGGGCATTTACTATCTTTGGCTAGTATTTTTACTGCTGAATTGTATGCCATCCTTGCAGCACTTATCCATATTGCATCTATGCCTGTGTCATCATTTGTGGTTGTCTCAGACTCCCTTAGTGCTTTACAGGCTATACAGAAATTTGATACACCTCACCATTTAGTCCTCCGTATCCAACTTTGGCTACACCACATCTTTACCAAGCATAAAGATATTGTTTTTTGTTGGGTCCCTGGTCATGTTGACGTACAGGGCAATGAACAGGCAGACACTGCTGCGCGGTCAGCAGTACATGACCTACCAGTTTCATATAGAGTTATTCCATTTACGGACTATTTTGCTGCAATAGCTACCCACCTTCACACCCGTTGGCAACAACGTTGGTCTACTATGCTCAGCAACAAACTTCAATCTATTAAACCGAGTATAGGTTACTGGCCGTCTTCTTATCACCAGTGTCGAGGTTGGGAGACTACTCTCTCCCGTCTTCGCATTGGCCATACTCGTCTTACTCATGGATATCTCATGGAGAGGCGCCCTGCTCCTCTCTGTGAGAATTGCCAAGCTCCATTATCAGTCAGCCACATTCTGTTAGATTGCCCACTTTATCAACGAGCACGCAGAATTTACCTCCGTCGTTGTCTTCGCTCCGCTGCTCTCTCTTTACCTTCCCTTCTCGCTGATGGACCCACCTTTCATCTGGACTCTCTCATTGACTTTTTGACAACAACTGACTTACTTCACAAATTCTGATACCTTCAGCCCTTTGTACTTTAATCTCTTGCTACCCTCTACCCCCGTACTATCCCCTGCCCCGCTGTTTTCTGTAACCTACTGATCATCCCTCCCCCCTTCTGCCACCCAATACCCTCGCTTCCTTCCCTACCCTGCAGCGCTGTATAGCCCTTGTGGCTTAGTGCTTCTTTTTGATTATAATAATA